GTGTACGTACACCTGAATTGCTATGCCTGACTCGAGGGCTCACCAGTCTTCTGCCTGTTGCGTTGTTGTCCATTCACTTTCTTTTTTTAGTTGCAGCGTGGTGTCTCCTCTCCGCCAGGTAAGGAGAGAGGTGCTCGGCATCTCCTGCACCCAAACCCTAAACCCCAAACCCTAAACCCTAAACCCTAAACCCTAAACCCTAGACTCAAGCCCCTTGATTTAAAGCTGGCGTCATAACAAGAAACAAAAAAATATAAACAAATTCATCATCATTATCTCCACAGCTGAAAAAGATAATAAAGGGTTTTAGTTAGGGTTTACCTTCAGCCCAGCTGCAACAGCAAGGGCCCGCGCCAGCACCTCCTGCTGCTGCACTCCTTCCTTCTCCGCCCGTTGCAGCAAATCCTCAGCAGCAGGTAAAAAGACAGGTAGTACAGAGCGACGCACATCGTCGAGCTGCCGGGTAGTGCATGCAGACTGAACAACACACCCAAACCCCAAACCCTTAACCCTAAACCCTAAACCCTAAACCCTAAATAATAAAACCGAAGGACAGCGTCATAGGGTTAGTCAGAGGCTCAAGGGCTGCACTATACTGCATTTGTAAAACAATGAACGCTACGGAGCTGTGGTTTTTGAATTAGGGTTTAGGGTTTAGGGTTTAGGGTTTGTGCCTACAGTAGCCGCCAGGACCTCGTTTGCGCTCGGCAGTTCTCTGTATTCAAATCTGCGAAACACAAAACCCCAACCAAACCCTAATCCGTAAACCCTAAACCCTAATCCATAAACCCTAAACCCTAATCCATAAACCCTAAACCCTAACCTGTAAACCCTAAACCCTCAAGGTATTGAGTGTTGCGCGTACCGAATACCGCAGTTGGCTTCTAGGGCTCTAACATCTTTTCTTTCTTCAGGCGAGTGCAGCAGCAGAGACAACCCCTGCCTCCCTGCTCTTCCTGTGCGGCCGCTGCGGTGTATAAACACGTCGCTATCGTGCGCTACACCACAGTGAACCACCTGGCAGCAGCAGCAGCAGCAGCAGCAGCAACAGCAACAGCAGCAGCAGCAACAGCAGATAGAGAGAGGCGGAAGCTGAAGACTAAGAAGAGATGAATAGCAGGGGCAAACAAACGAGAAAGAAAGACAGAAAAGAAACAAATGAAATAAAGAGATATAATAAAGAAAAGAAAAGAAAGAAAAGAAATAAAAGAAATAAAACAAAGAAAAGAAGAAAAAAGGAAAAAAAAGAAGAAAAGGGATGGAAAGAAGAAGATAGAAGGCCAGCGGCAACAGACAGATAAGTACAGGCCGAAACACAAAACAAAGAAGGAGAGAAAATAATATAAATATGAGAGAAAGCTGATGAAATAAACACATAAAAAAAACCAAAAAAAAAAGAAGAAAACGACAAAATAAGAGACACAGAAGATAAACAAGAAGAAAGAAGAAAAAAAAAGGAAAAAGAAAAAGAAAAAAAAAAAAAAACAAAAAAAGAACAAACTCACCAGGCCTACGTTGCCGAGGTCTACACCCCTTGCTGCAACATCCGTGCAAATCAGCGTTTTGTATCGGCCTGAAGAAAACAGCTCAACCCTAAACCCTAAACCCTAAACCCTAAACCCTAAATCCTGAACCCTAAACCCTAAACCCTAAACCCTAAGTATAAAGATCTTAACAAAGGAACAAATGAAAAAGAAACAAGCAAGTACACAAACACAAAGAGAAACAAAAACAGACAGACAAACAAAAACAACAACAGTAGCGTTTGCAGAATGCGTGGCTGTCCGTGGGGGGAGGATGCGTAAAGTTAAGCAGCTAGCTAGCTAGCTAACTAGCTAGCTAACTAGCTAGTTAGCTCACTATCTATCTGGCTAGCTAGCTAATTCGCTAGGTAGCTCGTTAGCCAACGCGAGCTAGAGCAAGGTAGCTAGCTAGTTCCAGCAGGTGTCCATCTAGCTGGCTAGCAAGCAAGCAAGCAAGCTAGCTAGCTAGCTGTTTAGCTAGCTAGCTAGCTAGCTAGGCAGCTGTTTCGGTAGCTAGCTAGCTAGCTAGTGAAGAGGGTTTAAGAGAGGAACTGACCCTTTTTGAATGCATGCATAATAGCTTCTCTGGTTTGCTGCTCGACCCCGCCATGTAGAACAGCAGCAGAGAAGTTGGTTGCTGCTGAGTCATGAGCGAGAGCATCAGCCTGATGTTTTGTACCTACAAATATTATTGCTTGTTTGTTTGCATCTGTGAAACAAGAAACAACACCATGAAGCAAAGCGCACAAAGAAGAGCCCACGCAGCCCGCGGGAACCTCCATGCGCACGTGCCGCACGGTCGATGCTGTTCTGAAACACAAAAAAAAAAAAAAACAGAAATCATAAAAATTATTTTATTTTTTTCATTAAATATATTTTATTTTTATTGTTTTACCAAAATTCATCATTTATTTTCATGGATTCACCAAAAACAATCAAAATATTTCAGCTTTCTGATTCAAATGCAAAATATGTTTCAGACGATTCAGAGGAAATTAAAGAAAAAATTCAACTTCTTGAATACAAATATATAAAGCATATATTTATATATTAAATATAAATAAAAAATATTTTTATATATTCAATATAAAATAAAAAAATACTCCGACATGTTCAATGAAACAATATTTCGATATACTCAATAGAAACAAAAGTAATAACTTGACATATACAATATAGAGATAAAAACATATGAACTTTATATAAATATAAGTATAAATATCCAATAAAAATGAAAAAAACAATTTAGTATATAAACAGAAATAAAAGGAATGCTCAGATATATTCAACCGAAACCAAAAGGAAAACGTTTCAACTCATGAAGAAAGCCGTCATATTTTTTCTTTTTAAGAAGAAATACACAATTCAAATTATCTATTTAATAACAATATGAATAAATAAAAATAAAAAAGAAAAAATGCCTCCACTTTTGAACAGAGAAAATATATAATTCAACTCATGGGGAAGCAATACAATACTGTGAATTCTCTTCAGCCCAGTGCCTTAACCCTAAACCCTAAACCCTAAACCCTAAACCCTAAAGCTATCAAAGCAAACACCAAATTCACACTGGGAGATCTGCACCCCGCCGGCAATGCTGCCTCCTAAACCCTAAACCCTACATACTAACGCTAAACCCTAAACCCCAAATCCTAGGCCCCAAACCATAAACCCTAAACCCTAAACCCTAAACCCTAAACCCTAACCTGACGGTTCGGTTGAGCATCGCGTCGACAGTTTGTGGATTTTTGAGAAATTTTTCGGCTACTTTGCGGACCCAGTTGGGTTGTGTGGCGGAGAAGAGGAGGAGTTGTTGCTGCTGCTGCTGCTGCTGCTGCTGCTGTTGCTGCAGTTGCGGTGTACGTACACCGGAAACAGGGGAAAGCTGGGGTGTATCCGCAGCTGCTGCTGACGCCTCAGTATCGCTTGCAGCTGCAGCGCGAGAAGATAAAACAGAAGAAAGAATCAAATCAACTGCCTCAGCAAACCCAAACCGCAACATCTCGTCCGCCTCGTCCAGCACCACGTGCTGCACTCCGCTTAAACTGCAGCAACAACAACAACAGCAGCAGCAGCAGCAACAGGAGTAGCAGCAGCAGTAGCAGCAGCAGCAGCAGCAGCAGCAGAGGCATATAAGGGGTTGAAGGAGAAATGTGTATTGGATGTTCGGCAAGGCCTCCCAGCAGCAACAGTAGCGGTGCAAGCAGCACCAGAGCAGCAGCAGCAAAGCAGCAGCAACGAAGCAGCAGCAGCAGCAAAGCAGCAGCAGCAGCAGCAACTGTAACGCACTCAAGTGCTGCAGGCCCCTCGCGGTCTACAGAGGGCTCCAAACCCGCCAAGTCAATCAGCCGGCCCGGGGTAGCAACAACAGCATCTAGACCCCTCCGCCGCTGCTGCAGCTGCTGCTGCTGCTGCTGCTGCTGCTGTTGCTGCTGCTGCTGCTGCGATCCAGTGAGGAGTCGTAGCTGCCTCAGCTGCTGCTGCAGCGGTACCCCTCCATACACACAAAGAGAAGTGAAACCCAGGGGGCCCCCGAGGGCCTCCAACTCGCTGTGCACCTGCCGAGCCAGCTCCCCTGCAACACAAACCCCAAACCCTAAACCCTAAACCCTAAACCCTAAACCCCATACCCCTCAAAGGAAGGGCTAGACAGCCGCACGAAGCGTCTTTACTGACTTGTTGGGGCGAGGATCAGAAGCCGGGGTTTTGCTGCAGCTCTTGCTGCATGCCTATCTGCTGCTGCTGCTGCTGCTGCTGCTGCTGCTGCTGCTGCTGCTGCTGCTGCTGGCTGCTGCAGCAGACGCGACAGCAGCGGGACGAGAAAGGCGAAGGTCTTTCCGCTGCCTGTCTCTGATCGCCCCAGCAAATCTAAACCCTCAAATATTGGCTTGAAGGATGTCGCCTGAAACCAACAAACCCTAAACCCTAAACCCTAAACCCTAAACCTAAACCCAGAAAACCCTAAACCCTAAACCGCCACGCGCAAACCACCCATTTCTAGTCTTTGGCCTGCTGCAGCCAAAGGAGAGGATGCAGCCGGCAGCATCACCAACCCCGCTAGGGTTTAGGGTTTAGGGTTTAGACAGCTAGGGTTTAGGGTTTAGGGTTTAGGGTACCTGGATGTTTGTCATGTTCGTAATTCCTCTCTTTTCGAGGGCCGCCGCTATCTCGGGCAGTATCTGCAGCAACACAAACCCTAAACCCTAAACCCTAAACCCCAAACCCTAAACCCCAAACCCTAAACCCTAAAGCGCAAACCCCAAACCCTAAACCCTAAACCCTAAACCCTGAATTGCCGCCTCTTTATACCTCTGGGATGTCTGTGAATTTCGTGCTGGAGATTTCTGTGTGGGCCGTAGACTGCAGACACAACAAACCCTAAACCCTAAACCCTAAACCCTATACAGTGTTCACATCCAAACGCAGACTTCAATTCACTTCTTTTCAGGCACAGACCTCTGCTCTATCCTGAGGGTTTATCTCTACCAGTTTAGGGTTTAGGGTTTAGGGTTTAGGGTTTACTTGGGGTGTAGTTTGCAGCTCAGGGAAGAGGGGTTTAACGCGGCCTTCTCCCCCTTCCCTCGGCAGCAACAAATCATCAGAAGGGAGGGCCCCTAGGGGGCCCCCTGGGGGCCCCCCCTGGGGGCCCCCCAACCCCTTTTGTAATACACTTGCAGCTGCCTCGGGCCCCCCCTTTACCCTCCTTCTAGGGGCCCCCAGGACCCTGGGGGCCCCCAAGCCAGCCCTGGGGGCCCCTCCAGAGGTTAGGGGGGCCCTCGGGGGCCCCTTGCCCTGCAGGAGTTGCTGTCGTTCTTCAGGCCAGTGAAACGCCAAGGCCCTGGAGGGGGGCCCCCCGGGGGCCCCCCCGGGGGCCCCCGAGGGGTAGAGGGGCCCCCAAGATGCTGCAGGCCCCTCCCCAGACTTAATAGAGATAGCAGAAGCAAACGAAAAAGAGAGAAATGCAGCAGCAGCAACAAACAGCAACAAACAACAGTATGCCTTCACTCCTTTCCAGGGGCCCCCCAGGGGGCCCCTCCACCCGCAGGATACCCTGGCAGGTGATGGAGAAGACAGGGGGCCCCCAGGGGCCCCCATAGTGCCCTTTGGGGGCCCCCTTTTACTATTCATGTTTCGGGGGGCCCCAACGAAATCGAGAGAGAGAGAATGAGGGCTGCGGTGTACATGGGGGTGGTGGAGGCCCTATAAGAAGAAATATAAATAAATAAAGAAAAGAAAAAGAGAAAAAATAATATAAATAAATATAAATATAGAAAAGTATAAAAGAAAAAGAAAAGAGGGGGGCCCCCTCACGCCCAGGGAGGCCCCTAGGCTTCAGTCCCCCTAACCAAGGCAAATAAACAAAACGAGACAAAAAAACAAAAAATAATATAAATTAAATAATTTAAAACAACAAAATAATATAAATAAAACAATGAAACAAATCGAGACAACCGAAAACCCACCAATGCTCACAAAGGGCCCCCATAAGGTCATTCCCGCTGGGGGCCCCCCCGGGGGGGCCCCCCCGGGGGGCCCCCCCGGNGGGGGCCCCCCCGGGGGGCCCCCCCGGGGGGCCCCCCAGAAGGGCCCCTCAGAGGGGCCCCATAGGGTACTATTATTATTCCATATTATATTTTATATTTTTATTTTCCTGGTGGTTTATATAAAGAAATGTAATTGACGTCGCTCTGCAGCAGCAGCCCCCCCCCTCTGCCTCTATCTGGGGTTGTTAGCTGCGAAGGGGGCCCCTGGTGGGGGCCCCCTTTGAGGCCCTTGCAGGAGAAGCAGCAGCAGCAGCAACTGCTGCTGCTGCTGATGCTGCTTCTCCTGCTGCAGCAGATAGACTTGCTGCTGCTGCTGCTGCTGCTGCTGCTTGTCGGAGTGCTCTACGTGCAGGAGTTTGAAAGTGACCCTAAACCCTAAACCCTAAACCCTAAACCCTAAACCCTTTCAGCTGCTGGCATTTTGCATGCATGTACTAGAGGGGTCCCCCCAGCCACCCAGGAACGGGGCGGGTTCCCCAGGTATGATTGTGTGTTTATCAGGGTTTACAGTTTTTAGGGTTTAGGGTTTAGGGTTTAGGGTTTATAGTTTTCTGGGGTGTATATACACCACCTGCACGCAGATGGGGCCCCTCTGCCGCCTCAACGCCTTCACAAGGAGACCTCCCTTCGGCTCCCTGCGGACCCTCAAGGGGGCCCCCCGTACCCTCTTCGAGAAGGGGGGCCCCCAAGGGGGCCCACCTGGGGGCCCCCCAGGGGGCCCCCCAGTGGAGGGGCCCCCAGGGGAGGGGCCCCGAGGGGAGGGGCCCCTAAGAGGGCCCTCTCCACCGCTTGTCGCGATCAATACCGTACCCTTCTGGCGGGGGCCTTGTCGCTCGGGGGGGGCCCCCCGCAGATGTTTTGGGGGGCCCCCTGGGTCGTCAGGGGGGCCCCCTGGGTCTGCAGGGGGCACCCTTGATTGTATTAGTTTGCCTCTGTGCGGAGGGTACTGCCGTTTCTGTGTTGGGGGCCCCTCGAGGGTGTGGGGCCTCCTGCTGCTGTCTCTGCTGGGTAAGATAACAAAGCAGCAGCAAACGAAGAAAGGGGGGCCCCCCCAAGCAGATGTTAAAGGAAGAGGGGCCCCCCACACAGGCATGACCCCCAGGGACCTGCAGCAGCAGCAACAGCAGCAGCAACAGCAACAGCAGCAGCAGCAGCAGCAGCAGCAGCAGCAAAAAGAAATATGTGCTGCGGGGCTTTTAAGGTGCCTGCAGCTCTCCCTGCCGCTGCTGCCGCTGGGGGCCCTCCTCAGACTAGCGTGGATCCTCCCTGCCCTCGACAGCTGCAGCAGCAGCAGCAGCAGCAGCAGCAGCAACAGCAGCAGTAGTAGTAACAGTAGCAGCAGCGACAGCAGCAGATGCTTCTGCTGCACCTTGCAGCATCGAACGCAGCGGGGCGTTTTCCCTGGGCCGCTCCTGCTGCTCCCTCCACAGCAGCAGCAGCAGCAGCAGCAGCAGCAAAAGCAGCAACAGCAGCAGCAAAAGCAGCAGCAGCAGCAAGAAAGCTGGCGAGAAGAAAAGCGGTATTTAACGTGGGGGTTGCTGCAGCAGCTGTCTACGCGTTTGCTGATGAGGACTCCTGGAGCAGCAGCAGCAGCAGCAGCAGCAACAACACCTCCACCCGCTGCAGCAGCAGCAGCAGCAGCAGGAGCAGCAGCAGCAGCAGCAGCAGCAACTGTGAGCCCTGAAGAACTGGCAAAGGCGGCAGGAGGTCTGAGCCGGTTGCTGCCCCGCAGTAAACGTCTTGCTGAGGTTCCCGCTGCTGCTGCTGTTGCTGCTGCTGCTCCTGCTGCTGCTGCTCCTGTTGCTGCTGCTGCCGATCCTGCTGCTGCTGCTGCTTTAGTGAGGGCTCTTGTGTCTCGTCTGACGGTACTTGCAGCAGCAGCAACAGCACCAGCAGTACCAGCAACAGCAGCAACAGCAGCAGCACCAACAGCAGCAGCACCAACAGCAGCAACAACAACAGCAGCAGCAGCAACAGCAGCAAC